TGGACATGTTGAGGGGCTTCACCTCTCAATGTCAGTTGCTCATCTCTCAATAGGCCACCCTCGGCACGAATTTATCTGGGAAGTTGGACTGTGTTACCTCTGAACTGAATCACCACAGTGCCGCCTTGACAGCTCATGGCACTGCCTTCTCTACTCTTCAAGCTACGGTTGATTCTTTGGATGCTCATATGGCTGCTATATCTGATTCTCAGTCCAGCATATCTGAGGCTGTCGCTGATCTTCGTGCTCGGTCGGATAGTCAGGCTGCCACTAATCAGGCAATTCTTCAATCCCTGGCTGATCTTCACTCCAAGATGGATGCCCAGACTCAGATATCCAAATTGTTTTTAGCCAGAGATACAGAGTTCACTGTTGACTTGGGTCCTACTCAGTTCACGGAAGAGGACAGGGTCATGTTAGCCACACTCAGTCGCCGTGTTGAGTCCGATTATGATCTTCTCGGCGGTCTTCATCGCGGTGTCTCACGTCTGCTTCGTGCCACCTGTGCTCCCTTTCCTCGTGCTACTGCTTSTGTGCCTTCCCCACCTGCCGACGTGGAGGGTCCTTCTGTACCTGCTGCTGGGCCTTCCCCTGTTCCCACTGAGGGGGAGAAGACAGTTGATCTTGCTACCAGTGTCAACGGGGATGACGACTCTTCTTCTACTTCTTCTACTTCTTCATCCTCAGCCGAGTCAGATGGTGATGCTCCTATTGAGGGGGAGCTACCAGTTCATGATGATAGAGCCACATCAACCGTTGAGGGGGAGCCACCATGTTCTATGCCTTCAGTATCTGTTGAGGTTGGTACTATCCCTTCTCAAGATGATGTTCTCACTACTTCTGGGGACTTAGTCCCAACTCACAGAGAAGGAAAGGCACCGATGACCACRGATGAAGAAGCTGCTGCAGCTAAAGCAGCTAAATCTGCTAGACATCAATCTGAAGTTCCTGCAGCCGACAGACTTGTGCTTAAAGCTTCACTTCCTCAAGAAACTGATCTTCAGCTCCTTGGTATTTCTTCTGAGGATGTGGCCAACTCAATTGCTCTTCAAAAGCAATTTGAGGAAGCCAACAGATCTCAC